GGAAAGGGGGGTGGGGGGGGGAATCATGTTTAAGGTACTGTGGTCCTTTACTGAAGTGCTAAATTGAAAATTGCAAATCGGTTCCTTATTTCAGATATGATAATGAAGGGAAAGCATTATTTATTACGACAAAAGGAGGGCCCACGGAGAATGATGAGATGTGTATAATTTTTCTATTATTGCCTCTATTATTAAAAATACAATTAAATAACAACAATATGTAATATTTTGTGTTGCTTTTCTTTAACTGAGGGTTAACAATATAAGACTTAACATATACCAACATTGTTATCTCTTCGTGTATAAAACCTTATTTTCTACCAGAGTAAGGCAGCTGCTACACGTCAGATTGCATTAGCAGTCCCAGGACAGGACGCAATTGCTGTAACGCTGCATGATTTGCCTCTGACATTACAGGAGAAATAGAAAAGTACGACAAAATACAGAAACGAAAGGCAACGTTTACCTGAGCTAACGCGATAGCTTGAAACTACACGAGTAGCTAGCTCGTTGACGACCGCTTAATAACTGAAACAAACTCCTCTTAAAAGCACGAGAAAAAGTTTCGTTGCTGTTCTTTTGTAAGTACTAACCTTCATATTGATGAAATATATTCACGCGAATCTTCTTAAAACATCATCACCAGAAAAAGTGCCGTTTGTTTCCCATAATGCTTCGCTCTGAAGCGTCTATCACAGCGATGTCATAGCAACAGAGAGTAGCCAATCACGCACCTCCATACGAAGGAAGAGGCTAAGCTTCAAAACAATAAACACTTCTGCAAAAATTGTCTTACCGTTTAACAATAATAATAACAACAACAACAACAACAACAACAACAATAATAATAATAATAATAATAATAATAATAATAATAATAATAATAATAATGAGTCTTCCTGAAATCTATTGTTTTTTGTCATTGTTATCCACAAATGTTAAAACGTTTACATCCCATAAAGGACAGTAAGTACATGTTTTTAGGGAAGGTTTTGTTAAATACAGTGGGATCTTCTCAAAGTCAAAACTACCTGGTACTGTTCCCACTGACCCACAAGGTGGAAGCGTTGTATAGCTGCTGACAAGCCAGTGTGCCAGACGTCCTGATGTTTGTTCTGCCCCATGTTTTCTTTCTGTCCTCCAGTAAGTGTTCATTGATGCTCTTTGAAAGCAAGTGAGTAACAGCTCTTGACAAGCTGAGAGGACAATCAGTTTGTTTATGTGGAGCAAAATGAGGTCATCAGATACCCTATATTTGTAGTTTCATCCCTGACCTCAACCAGGGAAAATGCTACAAAGATGTTTTCTGCTCTTTCTCACAGCTTGATGGATGGTTGGTATTTCTTTTTTTTCTTTCTCCTCTGTACAACCTGGGGAGCTGGACTGATGAAAAACCAGCTGGATGAAAAACAGATGTGTGACAGAAATATTCCTCTGTGTGTGCTGGCAAGCTAGAGCAGAATACACCCTGCAGACTCAGATCCCATTAAGATGCACAGAGGGGAGCAGCGGAACAATTTTCAGGCAAAAAGATAAAAATAGACCGAAGAAATGATAATGAAAAAAAAAAAAAAAAACTCCTTTTCATGGACATGCCAGCAAGGCAATCAGTTCAAATTGAGAGAAGCTTCTGGACTGTAACACATTAAGATTCTTGAAACAAGATGTTAACTTGGTTCAGTGCAGTTGTCCTTCATGATGCAGGATTAATTCATCTGCCACCATTAAAAAGTATGATGACCTTTAACTTGCCTTTTCAGCTGTTGGAGAAATCAATTTGTTTTTTTTTCCTGTTTTTAAATGTTTATTGACTTTCCAATCCTACCATACCTACTACATCCAAAATATTGAGGTATTTTAAATGTTTTGATTGACTTTTTAATCAAACATTGGACAACATGATCACCGTTACAGGCTAGCTATAGATTTAATTTAAAAAATTATTTTATCTGGATTAAGGATGCCTGTGTGGATTTGTTATATACTTAATCATATTGAACAAAAAAAATCCTCAAATTTTATTCACAAATGCAAAACTTCAAATGTTTGGAGCTTTTGTTTTTGACTTTGTGGAAACTTGCGGGTTCCCAACAGCATGCTTTGGGACATGCACAGAAACTGACTTTTTAAATGAGTCCAGCGGCACGTCAGAACAGATGAGTAAACCTGTGGTAAAATATGTAGCTGAACATCTGAAGTGTCATCAGAGATGTAGACTGGGAGTCCAGGACTTTTTCTTTTGTCTCCCTCTTGTTTCTGTCAGGTGTAATAAAATCAGGTGTTGTTAAGGCCGTGAGACAAGGTCAGTGGCATCAATTCTCAGCGCCAGCGGCAGCCCTTTGTCAGAACCACTGATGATTTAAAGCTTTTCCGGCAATAAATAACGGAGCCACTCAGCTGGCTGCCGGTCGCTGCACTGGAGGTTAAAGCACCTATAAATTCTGAGCATTCCTCTTCCTCACACAGTTACAAAACACTTCAACCAGCAGCTGATTTGTCTGAAGCTTTTAAGTAAGGCGAGACACTTTTAAGAGTAACAAGGATCTATTAACCAGCAGGCAGAGGAAAATTAATGCGGAGCCACACTCCAACAGCCAGAAAATCAGCGAACTGCAAAGGCCATCAGTGGAGCAGAACCGTCTGCAATCTAGCTAGAGCTGCGAGTATCGTATAAACAAACAGGTTTTACAGCTCGGCGACATTTATAGTGATTGTGACAAATACAGACTGCCTGCAGAAACATCTGTGCTATAAACAAGAGTGGTGCCATGAGGAGTAAACTGACAAACAAGTTTTCAATCACAGGTTGACTTTATTGTATAAAAACATTGAACGGCAGCTCGTTTACTTTACATCCACAACGAGGCGCAGCACTCGAGACGAGCAGATGCAAACCAACAACATTCATTCTGATTTCATTTTACAATAAGAAACAACACCTGGTATATTTAGTTTGATATACAGTTCCTTGCAAATGTATTCACATGCCTTAAATGTTTTGACATTGTCACATAATAGATTTTAGTGGACAAAAACAGTTTTTGGAAAATGTTTCCACCCCCCTTTTACTTCCCAGCTACACATTAATTTGCCCTTTGTGTTAAAATCTCAATAAAATACATGTAATTTGTGGCTTTAAAGTGACAAAATGACATTCAGGGTTTATGAATACTTTTGCAAAGCACTGTAAACACAACATAATGCAGTAACACCATTTTACATGTATTTATGTACACAGTATACATTTGTATTTACAGCTTGATTTGGAATGTATGCGTTTTCATGGCAAGCCTCATTCTGAATTCACACGGCGGAGATGACAAACTTCTTCTGCTGAGAGGTGAAGAGAGCTACTCTGAATAGACAGCAGGCGGGTTTTGAAGGGGGGAGACACATGGAATAATGCAGCAGTGTTTTATCAGCCTTGTATCAACATCATGGCAGTCTGCCCATGTCAGCCTTTTCAGATGTCATGCTGGCAAATTTGGGCGGCCTTCCAGTCTTCAGCGGCTCCTGGGGCGCTCTGCTTACAGCTGCAGGCATGTGTTTGTTCATATTTAGATGTACAGGTGTGAAGTGCATCCTCCGTGGTGCATTAGCTCCAGATCTGAGTTCAGACAGGATGTCTACGCTAACTCTCACTGTCAATTCCCCACCTTTATACCAGAGATGAGACAAAACGAAACATCCAATTACATGCGTGCTATGAGGCAGTCGTGGCACATGTTTGTGCTGTATGGGTTTCGTGTTACGAATGATGTGCGATGCTTTATCTGGAGCAGAACTGCAGCTAATAATTCTTTGAACGCAGCATGAAATAGAAAAAAAAAAAAGAAAAAAGAAAGAAGAAGTCAACGTTATTAAATTTTTGGCCTCATTACGAGGTCTGCCGTTTCCTTCTGCCTGGGTATCCGGGACTGGTGCGAAGCAAAATGGTGCAAGTATCTACGTGTGTCTGTGTAGCAGCGAACTGCAGGGAATTGAGGATGTGGAACGAGAGAGGAGGAAAGGGAAGAAGATTCTCATTTAAGATAAAAAAAAAAAGAAACACTCGCTGCAAACTGTACACATACAACACCAGCAGACACACACAGACTGCTGATGACAAAAAAACAAAACAAAACATCTTGGCTTGTAAAATGAAAAGCTCAATGGACCTTGTTTAAGAACCGAGGCTGTAAATAGCTGGTCTTGTGCTATGGAGGAAGTTAAAAACCAATTTTCCCAGCAGGGATAAAGGCTGGGCCATTAACACTGCTCAATCAGCATAAAAGCTAAAACATGACGGTAAAAATAAATGAAAAAGTAAGGACCGGGAAGCTTTCTCAGGCAACTTGCTAAAAGAAAACCCACCAAAAGCATGAAAATCAGAGCTGATGCAACGTGCCAAACATTAAGAAACATCCGATTTAACTCAGTGGATTCCAAATGAAACTAATGAAGTGGCTCACAGTCTCTAACAGAATAGCTGTTTATGAGGCTGTGCTGATTACGTCAAAACTCTCGCTTTCATCTGTCAGCGGGGCAAACCGGAGCAGCAGTATATTTGCCAACCGCAGCACAAAAAGAACAGGTTGCTTATTAAAAATAGCACCAGCGCATACGATCAGGTTGTGTAGGGAAAGCCGAGAGGCAGTCCTGACGGTCTCGCTCTCTTTGTAAGCAGAAACAAAAGCAGAGAGCAGCTGTGCAGATTTATATCAAAACAAGTGAAGAGTGTGTGTGTGTGGGGGGGGGGACTAACCCACAAGACACTTGCTCTGTATCATCCAGATAGTTATCATTCGTCTGAAACCCGACCTGCCCTAATCTATCTCTAAAAATCGACCGATTGGTGAACTTTACGATGAAACTGAGTAAAACCTGAAGAGAGATCAGAAACCACCGTCTCTTCTGACTGAAGGCAGCTGCTGCACTCAGAGTCTCTTCAGCGCCAGTAGATCCTGTGAGTTCAGCCTCTGAGGCGTATGATGTGCAGACAGTCTGTCATCATGTGTTTCTGTTGTCACAGTCGGACGGCCACCACACAGGCACCTGCCCTGCCCAGGCACAGAGAGGCGACCTGCAAGAGGACATGAACCACGATAGTCGTTAGACAGCCAAACGATTTTAAAACACTGTTCAGGAGCATTAATAAAATTTCCTCAAGGCATCGTTTTTGTCATCATGACATTTAATTGACTGCTAATGATGTGCATTGACCGGCTTTTACACAGTGATGACTAACGCTTAGAAGCCAACATAACGTCTCCTTTAAATCTTCTTTATAGACAACTAAACAGGATCAATAAATGCAGTGAATAAAATGTTCTTCTTCATGTCTGTTCAGGATGTCTTGAGATGTATTTTGGTCTCCACTTCTTTGGGTGATTAATTAAGTGATTCATTCATCAAGTGCTGCAGGCACACACACACACTCTACAGTTCATCCATCCGGATGATGCTGGTCAGTTTTGAGGCACGCTGCGTTCTGAAGCCTTTTCATGTTGTGGATTAGTCCAGAAACATTGGACCACATGGTGAGCAAAAACACAGAATGCACAGTGTCAGTTTATTTGTGTTTAATTACTTAACGTGAAGTGTGTAGAAAGGAAAAAAAATCTACAATGAATTCAGTATTTCAATTTCAGGTTCAGACAATCCAAAAATAATAAATAAAAAATATTTTAAGTAAAGCAAATGCATCACCTTTCCACTCAGTGTGTAATAATGGTGAATCCTGATTTCAGTATCGACTGAAATAATTATGACAAAACTTATGCAAAACTTTCCCTATTTTACCAGCTGTATTCTTGAAAACAAATCAGAGTTCCTGCAATTATTGTACACGATTATATCACAACTTCTAGACTCAAATTTCTAGATTTTGTTTATTTTTATACATAGAAATAATATATATTTATTAATGCTCCTAAGCGAACAAACAAACTGGGTGTCATTTTTCACCTGTTTCTCTTACTAAATCTTTCAGAAAATTGATATTAAGCGAAATGAGAAATGAACATCAACATAAATATTACATTTAGAATTTACTAAGTAGTGCATAGTTTCATTTTAAAGATTAACTTCTCTGAGAAAATTAATTTCAGACAGATTTGAAAAATTATTATTAGACCATAAAATGCTGAAATAAAGAGTCAAGGACAGCAGTTTCTATTTTCATACCACATATTTGCATACAGTGAAATATTATGATAGGATTGCCAACATTCTCTAGAAAAGCCCCAACAATGTTGAACACCTTCCTTCATCTGCGTTTGTCCCATTTCTTATTTCATCCATCGCTCCTATGCTCTGTTTGCTCCTCCATTTAAACATAAACCTACTACTGTCTGCTACACGGAGCGACTTCTATTGGCAGATTTATGCTGAAATAAGCAGCAGTGACGCTAATGGATCCAGACAGACAACACACCCACTGGTTTGCTCCTCTCTGTTTCTGACAACACATACGGGACACGTTCACTGTTCTCAACATGTTCCCTCAAATCTCACATTATCCTCCATACTGTCTGCGCGCTTGAACAGTACTCTGTGTTTTGTTTCCGCCCACCCACACCTCTCATGTTCTCAGTGTGGTGCGTGTCTCGAAAATGTCAGATTTCCTGAAACTTTCTGCCGGGAATCCTTGGGGGATTTGCGTGAGACAGGGTATAAACTGAAGTGTAATATGGAGCAGCCGGATGAGATCATCCCACTTTCTCTCCGCCTCCTACCGCTGCAGTGCTAAGGACAATATTAGCTAGGATAAAACACACATTTATGTAAGAATGAAAACATGTCAAGATCCATCATACAGGAGTTTGTAAAATCATGATGATGTACAGGGTTAGGAATTTAAAGAGCTTTGCAAAAGTCTTCCTCCCCCTTGAATGTTTTTCTTATGTTACAACTTGAAATTTTAATGTTTTTTATTGGAATTTAAAGACAATACAAAATACTGGATGTTTACAGCATTTTGTTCAAATAAACAGCCACAAGAGACTGATTTTTTTTCTGCTCATTATTCTTTGAAAAAGCATTTTTATACTGCTTTGTGTCCACTGTTAATGTTCTGCCATAAATAGCATTTTGTGAAGATTTCAAGGTTCATGTTTGATCTAATCTGATCATTATTGTCCAAATTAACAAAAGGGAGGAAAGAAGGAAGGACACAAAGCAGAGATGTAGGAAATGTAGAAGTAAGGACAAAAGAAAGAGTTGCATAACTCTAGAATGCAATCACATGGTCTTCCTTTTATTTCTTGCTGGAGTTGTTTTTCTGGCAAAACAAAATAGCAGCATAAATCTGTGCAGTACCTGGGTCCACTCATTCGTCTGAGGGTCATAGGCTTCGACAGTATTGAGGTACACCTGGCCGTCGTAACCCCCCACAGCATAGAGACGGTCGCCGAGGAGACAAACACCAACAGCATCCCTGCTGATGCTCATGGGGGCCACCGTGGTCCAAACGTCAGTCTGAGGGTCGTATCTGTAAACAAGCAAGATTTGAGTCTACTGCTGTACCACAGATCCTGGTGAATCCCACCAGCTAGGAAGACTACAGACATGTTTCAACACATTCAAACGTTTCATTTTTTTTTTCTTTTAAGTGCAGATAAGATAGAAGCTTTAGTGGTCTATAAAGAAGAAACTGCTTAGTCAGTAATTTATTCTGGGCAGCATTAACTGACCTCCAATAAGAAAGGAGAAATTCTTGGTGTAATCTTTGACATGCCATTTAAATCCCGTATTAAACAGGATTTTAGTCATTTAAATATTCTGTATCCTCAAAAAGTACAGTACAGAGGTTTTAAATCACTAGCAGAATATCTGCAAACTTAACCAATAAAGTTTTCAGCTGCAGAGTCTAATTTCAATAATGATTTACTGCTCAGATATTTTTGTTTGAGTTTGTTCCATTCTCAACAAAAACGTCTCCATTCCAAGAAATCTAAAGATCGCAATGAATACTGAAATGTTTATGATTGTTTATGCTATTTAATCATTTTTGATTAAATAACACTAGAGGAATGTATTAGCTCAAAAAGTGATATAGAAAATATAAGAATGTATCTTCTTGAAAGAAGATACTTTTTAAATTATGACAACTTAGCTTAAAAACCTTTTTTTTTAATCTACAAATGTTCTGCTTTTACTTGCTTTTTTCTTATGATTTCTATTAGATGTTTTTGTTTACAAACATTGTAGGTACATTTGTTCATGCTGATTTAGACCCTGTGTTGTCAACATGATTTCTGCTGTTATGTTTAACACTATGCCAGTGGGAACGTTGTTTACATGCAGGAGCAGCTGACTGAGTATTTAAATGCTAATTAAGGCCTGGGAAAAAAATACCCTTAACAAGGTGAACTGGGAAAATAATCTAATATAGAGCAGGAGCAAAGTAAGTGTGAAGGAGAAGTTAAAATCCTTCCTCACTTAATGGTGATTGAAAATGAGAGACTGAAGATGAAACGTGGAAGCTGAAAGCAGGAATTCTGGGAAATACAGTCGATCAGAAAATCTCAGTATAAAACAAACCTTGTATGATGGATAGTAGGGCTGAAACAATCAGATTAATCATGATGAATAGATTACTAAAATAATTATTAACTAATCTAATACTTCATTAATTCTTAACTGGAGACTCAGAAAGGCCATTTGTTGAAAGAAAAACACAAAGCAC